TTCTTGTCCTATTGCTCTCGTTTCTAATTACTAGCTTCATTTATTTATTTTTTATTAACAAAGATCAACTTAATTGGATTGAATCAATTGCTTGAGGTCTATTATAAAAAAAGTAATTGATTTAGCCTGTTACTCAAATTTTTAGGTTAAACGGAGTAGCGATTGATTGGTTTTCCAAGGAAATGTGATAAATTGAGCAAAAATATAACTAAGTCGGAAGAAGAAAAGTATCGTTCGGTAATAGGGAGAAACAAGCTATTGAGAGGTGTCGAAATCAAAGAAGTAATGAGAATTTTCAAATGAACAAATATAAGTTTACTATCAAGCTGAACTAGATGGGATAGACGGGTTGAACGATAACAGCTGAAGCTGAGGCAAAGGTTAGATGGTTGGAGTAAGTGTTTCTTCTAAATTGAAATGGCGAAAATACATGGGATCTGTCACTCACGTCGGACTAATCCAATTTAACTGAGAAAAAGAGCACAGAAGTAAAGGTCAGGCAAGCATCTGATAAGTGTGACTCTAAGGGTGGCAAGTGGGCCAGTCCGGGATCGGGACTGCGGGCCAAACGGGCTATGTGGGCTAAGTGGGCCGGGACCGGTAGGACTGCTAGAGGTGGGTCAGGACTAGTAGGACTGCTAGAGGTGGGCCTGGGCCGGTCTCTTGGGCCGGTTGAAGTGCACGGTCACATGTATTTACTTTTAAGCCACTGTTTAAAATGTCTTTAGCCTTTAGCCACTGCTTTAATAAACTTTAACTGCCCGGACGAAAATACCCTTCTGCTCATGTCCTTTATTTTTGAACTTAACTTCAGGACTTCAGGACTACATGTCCTTAACTTTTGAACTTGTAACTCTAAGTTCAGGACTTCACGACTACATGTCCTTAACTTTTGAACTTGGGACTCTAAGTTCAGGACTTCAGGATTACATGTCCTTAACTTTTGAACTTAACTTCAGGACTTCAGGACTACATGTCCTTAACTTTTGAACTTGTAACTGTAAGTTCAGGACCAAGTGTCCTTAACTTTTGAGCTTGTTAGTCTAAGTTCTGGACCTATTGTCCTTAACTTTTGGGCTTCTTAGCCTAAGTTAAGGAAGTTCAGGACCTATTGTCCTTAACTTTTGAGCTTGTTAGTCTAAGTTCTTGACTTCAGGACCTATTGTCCTTAACTTTTGAACTTGTAACTGTAAGTTCAGGACATATTGTCCTTAACTTTTGAGTTTGTTAGTCTAAGTTCATGACCAAGTGTCCTTAACTTTTGAACTTGTAATTCTAAGTTCAGGACCAAGTGTCCTTAACTTTTGAATTTGGAACTCGAAGTTCAGGATTAAGTGTCCTTAACTTTTGAACTTGTAACTATAAGTTCAGGATCCATAACGTAGCAGAAAACCAAACATTATTTGTATCTTTTCACAAAAAAAAATATACTCTTTGACGATAGAATATTCATTCGTCTTATTCAACTTCTGTCTGTCCTTATTAGTTGCTTCCCAATTAAATATTACCCATCAATATTCAATAAGTCCATTCTTGAGGTAGTTGCATCTCTTGGTCGTTTACTACACTTGCCCTCCTTGTTTGGTCCTCTGAATCTTGATTTTCTTTCCAAACAAATTCTCAGTTTCCTTCTTTGCGCAGTCGCCGTCTCACAGAGTTCTTTCTCCCTAACATGAAAGAGATAGAAGAAAGGGTACCCAGTCTTTTCATATTAATTTTAATAAACTAGTGGCTACTATTGCTAAGCATTGAAAATGCTGGATAAAAAGTAAATACCACTTTAAAAAGTGGCTACCCCACACAATTTTTACTTGAACCGTTTAGTCCACCAAGGGACCGGTCCCTTGGCGCGCCAAACGGGCCCAACGGTATTTTTTTTAAAAAAATAGGCGCTGCTATTTAGATAATAGCCATTTAAAACCTCTCCCCCCCCCCCCCTACCAACTTTGTTTTAGCCCCAAATTTTTTATAACTATACTTTTTTTTCTATTTTTAACTATAAATACCCCCCTCATTCTTTTATTTTTCTTACAAAATCAATATCAATCTATCACAATCTCTCTCTAATTTTCTTCTATAGTTGCTATTGCTTACTTTATTCCAAAAAATAGTAAAAAAGATATTGAGGTTGTTACAATGAAAAATTGTGAAGTTGGTGAATTGAAGTCTTTAAGTATTCAACGATAATCAATTTTCAACAAGTTGTTCGTCAATTCGGTAAACTCATTCCAAAGTTTCAACAAGTTGGCCATTTTTTACTCAACTAGTTCCAGAAAATAAGGCTAAGTGTAAAACTTGTGGTATGGAGTTAGCTTTTAAATATTTTGAATCGCATGAGGGGGGCAAAAACTTTGGCTAGACACATAAAAAAAACACCCTCAAGATAGAGTCAGATATCTTCGTCTGAAAGATTTGGCCGAGGGAAAAAGTGTACCTAGTCCTAATCAGGCTGACCCTAGTACCGATTCAAATCAATTTTAACCGGGAATTAATATTGTTACCAGTGATATTTTATGTTATGATCCAAAAAAAGATCGGGAAGAATTGGCAAAAATGGTAGCAGTTATGTGCTTACCCTATAGTTTTCCTTCTGACCCTTCGTTTGCATTATATTAGAAAATTTTTTAATCCTACTTATAAAGGTTTTTCTCGCACAACCGTAAAGAACGATATTTATAAATATAAGCATGAATATGAACAATATTTGCGCTATTTATTTACTCATATGCATTGTCGTGTTGCTATTACAACTGATATTGGTAGAAATAGCAACGACTGTGATTACCTTACTGTTACCAGTCATTGGATTGATGAGGATTAGATAATGCAAAACGCATAATTGCTTATAGAATAATTGTTTCACGTCACACAGGGCAATTTATTGCTAGCACGGTAACTTATGAATGCTCTTTATTCTAATAATTATAATACTATTGTAAGAGATACCATGTAACTTGTATGAACAAAAATTAGTATGTATTATGTAACTTGTATTTTGGGACATCTTGATTAGTTTCTTTTTCTTCTCAATGGTGGTATTAGCACCTTGTTGTGCTCATTCCATAGGGGGAGGAAGACTAAGGAAGATATTGCCATATTTTTTAATGCTATAATAAAATTACAAGGCATTGCCTTGAATATCTCTTTACAATATTTTTTGTCTTTAAATCTGAATTAAAAAAATTTAGGTCACAATTCTATAATAAATTTACAAGGCATTGCCTTAGATATTTTTTTAACATCTTTTTCTCGCTAATTCTATTTAATTTTTTAAAAAAAAGTATTTAGCCGTTGGGCCCACTTAGCCCACTAAGCCCGCGGGCCCGACCCGTTTAACCCGGGACCATGAGTTCGTGAGCCCGGTCCCGGATCGGTTCCTACAAAAAGACCATTTAGCCTGGTACCGGTAGTCCCGTTTATTTAGGGACCGGCCCCGGATCGGGACCGTGTAGACCGGCCCACTTGGCCCATTTAGGGCTTGGACCGGTCCACATACCACCCCTAGGTGACTCTTTGTCTCTCTCGTCGGAATAATCTAATTTAACTTTCTTTTTCATGCAGGCAAAGGAGTTGAACATACCACCCACAATTGATGATGACTTCGAGTATATCTATACAAAGAAGATTGAGGATGGACAAAGAATACGTGCCGAGCTATGAGCTGAGCATAGGGTTGACAAATGAACGTGTTGGGCTGAATTTGGGCGGGTCAAGATGGGTTAGATCATTAAATGGGTCATTGCCCAACCCATCCCAAAGTGTACTTGGTCTTAAGATGGGATGGGTCAAGATGGGCTAAACAATGGGTCATAGCCCAGCCCGCCCAACTTGACCCATGTTTTAGAACTATGGTCATCTTGTATAACAAAGCCTTTTACCTTAAAATGTGTAAGTTTAAAAATACTTTGCGCGTGGGATGGTGGAGGGGGTTAGTGTGGGTGGGTGGTGCAGAAAAATAAAAATAAAAAATTAAAAATACAAAAAAAAAGTAAAAAAATAAATTTGAGGGGGTTAGCGCCGGGGGGGGGGGGTAGGGATTTGCGTGAGAGGGGTGTAGAGGGTAGGGGTAGGGTGTAGGGTAGGGTGGGTAGGTAGACAAGAAAAATAAAAAAAATTAAAAATACAAAAAAAAAGTAAAAAAATAAATTTGAGGGGGTTAGCGCCGGGGGGGGGGTGCGGAATAAAAAACAGAAAATTAAAAAATACAAATAAAAAAAAAAGTAAAATTGGCGCAATTAAATAAATTTCTAGATAAGTTGGGTTGAGATCCTTTTGTTTTGGGTGAGTTTCAAGGGTTGTATTTGGGCTGCTTATAGGTCAGAATGCGCTATATAAAATAATGAGTTAACTTGGGCTTCAGCCCAAATAGACCCATGAGCTAAAATGTTTGTAGCTCAATCCATTAATCTCTAGCCGGGTTGGGCGGGTAAAATAGGTTTGAGCTCAAATTGCCACCCCTAGGCTGAGCATAGGTATGTAATATTTTCTTTCTCTTAACCTAAACATAGTACTCCTTCCGTTCCAATTTATGTAAACCTGTTTGATTGAACACGGAGTTCAAGAAAAAAATAAAGACTTTTACAGTTTGTGATCCTAAGCAAGTTAAAAAGGAACCCAAAGTATTTGTATGATTATAAAAGCTTCTCATTAAGAATAGAATTATAAGTTTAAGCTAAAAAAATTCTAAAGTTAGAGAGGAATCATTCTTTTTAGAACGGACCAAAAAGGAAATATATTCGCATAAACGGGAACGGAGGGAGTACTAATTTTGTATTTTATAGATCCTTAACTTCTTATAACATATTATTTTGAACTTTTACGTTTGTTAGATTTCCAAGTATTTTATACTGTTTGTGTTTATTATTGTTCCTAAACAAATATTGAAAAGAATCAGAACCATACTTTAAAAGAAGTTAAAATATATCACATCAAGTCATGATGTTCAATCTATGATGAACAGGAGATAAATAGGACGAAACGTTAGGAATAAAAAATGACAATGAAGAAAAAGTACAGTGCTTAATCAAACTCCACCATAGTGTGAAAATTTTGACTTGTTAAACTTCAAACATCAATGGATTGTTCGCACAGAGAATTTCAAACTACCCAACACAATATTCTAGATTTTAAGATCAGAGTAATCCCTCTCCTCGATCTATTCGAAGGCAGGGCATATATTCTTTTGGACTTGGATAGCATAGCTCAAACTCTATCAACTACCTCAAAAGTTGAACCTTACAAAAAGGGGAAAACATAAAAAATGGCGCAAGGACAAATCCTAACAAATAGTTAAAATAAAATACACATCTCTCTCTATATAATCTCTCTCTCGTATGAATAACTTTAAACAGGGAATTTATCTAAGATCAACGGCAAATCTTTACATCCTTGTTTTCCCACCTAATTATATGTAAACACCATGCAACAGCTGCCATTACTTTGGCAATAAGCAGACACCATTGGAGAAAAATGTCTGCTTGCCTGTCCTCCAAAAAACCTTGGCACCCGCTTTACAAATGCAAATAAACACATTTAACTGCATGAAACAGTAGAAAGCTGTCAGCTAAGTTGTAATGCTTAAGAATGTTCCGTGGTAGAGGAAACCCCAACAAATGGTGTTACTTACCCTCCCCTCCAAGGTATGGAAATATCTTGCAAAAGATTTTGAAAAATTTAAAGGGATTTTTGAATAAATATTTAATGCAAATAAACACATTTAACTGCATGAAACAGTAGAAAGCTGTCAGCTAAGTTGTAATGCTTAAGAATGTTCCGTGGTAGAGGAAACCCCAACAAATGGTGTTACTTACCCTCCCCTCCAAGGTATGGAAATATCTTGCAAAAGATTTTGAAAAATTTAAAGGGATTTTTGAATAAATATTTCAACACTTTCATGAAAAAAAAACTCCACCTTGGGCTGGTTAGGATTTTGAAGAACGGTACCAGATGATCAAGAAAGATTTAAGGCATCTTTACCATCTTAGCTCATTTGTATCTTGAAGCTGCTAACTCGAAGAGCTAACCATCTCAATTCTCAAATTATGACATGATAAAAGCAACCGTAGAAGCTCCCTGACCAAACAAGCAGAATATCATTTTAATTATATAAAACCAAAATCTCCAGCGTAGATAGATGTTATCACTTGAGATACCGAAGGTAACAAAAGTAAACACACTGCAAGGTCTTAGATATGAAAAGAGTCAGCCCAAGAAAGAAAAGAATGGGCACACAAACACGAGAGAGAGAGAGAGAGAGAGAGAGAGAGAGAGAGAGAGAGAGAGAGCGCACTTACAAATTCGCTGTAGGAAGGGTATGTCAACCCACAAATCTTGTGTCACAGTCACCACCATTGGCATAAGTGACAGACAACGAAATTAAGAGCTATCCAAAGGAAAAATTCCATTTACTGCTCTGCGAAGGCATCACTACTTTGGACGATATGATCAAAAAGGAGATTGACACAATGGACAAGTTGACTTGTGAGAAGTGGAGAACCACTTGTAGAGGCAGGCTGAATGGAACTTGTGTTTGCAGGTTTTGCAAGCTAGCCGTGGGAGGCTATGGTTTGAAGTGTGGAGGACACTGTAACATATCGGGCACTCCTCAACACCTTCAAACTCCTTATCAAAATTGCTCTTCCATGTGTGAATTGCTTCAGCTAAAGCACCATTCTGCATTGTAAGAAAAATAATACTTCATCCCAACCCCCCAAGAACTCATTGAAAGTTATTTAAATGCTGAACAGGTCATTGAAGAAACATAACAGCCACTAAACAGTTAATTAACAACAAAGATGGTAAAATAACAATACCTGAAAATCGGGACATATACCTTAGTACCATTAAAACTGAAGACTGACATTATAAATTGAAAAAGTATACCTCAGAAGGAAACACATGCATGATCAAAGAGTAGATTAAATGTAACAGCTACATATATCAAGGCGATAAATTTGAATATAGCAGATGAGAGATTGACGGATAACAATAGTGGGCAGACACAGGAAATAATCGGGATGGAATGGGAGAATGATGCACAGATCAGAAGTAAGTCAGTGGGAGACACCTGATTACGAAGAAATGACATCATTGACATTAACCACTTTCTCTGTTTAACCTCACTAATGCCAAGGCTCTTGGTACAATCTACATCCACAGACCTCAGTGGGTAAGATGCCGGAAGACGAATTACTAGGTCCATTCCTGTTTCGTCTTTCGTGTAAGTGGCCACCACTTCATTAGCAGATTTGCTTACGATGACCGAGAAATTCTCATCAGAAAAGTTGGCTTTTTTTATCTGCATTTTAATGAAGGTTAGTGAGGAATTTTATGTCACAAAGAGCAAAAGACTGACTGAGATTACAAATAAAGCTTATGCTGCAAAAGTTAAGCGTATAAATAAAAGCAAGTATAGGTACTTAGAGGTCGTTTGGTAGAATGCATTAGAGAAAATAATGCATGCATTAGCTTTGTGTATTAGTAAAATCTTGTTTGGTATACTTTTTCAACCTATGTATAACTAATACAAGCATTAGTTATACACCCTATTTGGTATTATCCTATGTATAACTAAGGCATAGCAAAACCATGGTATTAGCAATACCAAGGCTATTAATGCATGCATTAGCATGGTTAAAGGCAAAATTATCCTTAAAGTCCCTTAAAGCTAAAGAATATGGAGGGCATTTTTGTAAATAAATAGTTTTCTTAAAAATTATGCAAGGGATGTCAATTTTAATACACCACACCAAACAATGAATAAGAAATAATCTCTGCATAACTAATGCTTGCATTACTAATGCCTGCATTACTAATACACCTTATTCAGCACTATTTTTATACACCCTACCAAACGACCCCTTAATGTTCATCCGGATTAGATTATCTTAACATTTAAGCAGCCAGTCAATCTTCCACTTGGTTAGCCAGCGTCAGGAAACTAAAAAGAAATGCATGACCCTAGCACTTCAAATGAAATGATTCATATTCAGGAAAGCCCCTGGAATTTCCTTTATTCTAATAACTCAAAATTTCATTCTTGCTCTAGAGACTACTCACAATAATCTTAAATCTTCTCGTCAATTTCATCACAAGAGCCCAGATTGGTACAATGGACAATTTCATTTCTTGAAAAGTTTATATCATCCACGAAAATGAAAAGAAAAATTTCAGTGTGATGAATTCATTTCAATAAATGTTCAAGTATCAGAGTGCTTAAGGATTCACATCATTCATACCTGGGAGAGTTCGTTCATAATCAGAGGGGGGCTACAATATGCTCTAGTGAAAAATTCAATGGCAGATGAAGTCGAACGGTCACGTATCTCACTAAACCACCCTCGAACATAAGCTGGAAGAATACAAAGCATGAGGCCAAAAATTGCACCAGCAAGTGAAGCAATTTTTTCTGGTCTGACAGGCCAAAGCGATTCCAAGCAAAATAACACAGAACTAGAAGTGATGGCATGAGTTGCAGATTTCGCTGCTTCTGACAATGAAGCTGGAAGTTCCGAATCCTTCTTTTTCAAGCTTGATGGTACACAAAATTCCAAAGGAATGTGCTGGAAAAGACAGTCTAATACTGTTGAAGTAGCAAACTCTTGAATGTACTGAACCATTCTCTCCCTCAGGGGTGATGAAGATGGTAGCGACACTAGATGTGAAAGTAACAAAGACCAAGCTAGAAAGACCTTTATCTGCCAAATTTAAAGACATTTAGCAAACAAAAGTGGTTTGTTGTAGCTTTGAAAAAGAAACAAATAGAGGCTCAAAAAGGAAAAAAGGGAAAAAACTAACCCTTTCAAATGCAAGTAAGTCCATTTCAAGAGCTTCAAATGGTAGTTTTTCCAGCAGGGAAGAAACTTCTTCCCTAAGATGAAGACTTTCTTCAGTAGAACCGTCAGTGTCCTGGTTGTTGCAAGCATCTCCATCAGAGGAACTTGTCTTATCGACAGTGTGCAAAGCTAAGTGAGACACAGGTTCAGTTGAAAGAATAACATAAGCAGCACATCTTAGGGAAGGAAGTGTCACGGCAGAAAATAGCATTGCATACAAGGAGCTAACAGGCCCTTTACTTAGGCCCCAAATTTCAACTGATTTTACTGCCTTCTCTCTTGCGATTGAAGAGGACTCAACAATAAGTGATGCCACCAAGTCCCAGAACTTAGAATGAGCAAGGATAGATGATGCTACAATTGAGGAAGCTTCACTACAATAAGAACTTGCCATAGCCTGCGTAGCAGCAGTAGAAAAGAACAACCGAAGAACACCTTCTATAATTCGGTCTTTGGCCATCTCCCATCTGTCACTCTTCAAGGTATCAGAAACATCAGCAGGCTCTTTTGCTTCAAGACCACTTATGTTGCAAAACAGAGAAAACCCAATTAGAGCATTGCTTGCGAGTTTTATAGGAGTAGAGTCCTTCACTGAAACGGTATCGTTGACCCTCTTCAGCGTAACTTCTAACTGTTCACAACCAGAACCATCTGTCATAACATCATTCACATTCTCAGCAACATCCTCCATCATAATGACTGCTGCTTCAATCCACCACCTAAAACGGTATAAAACAAACTCCCAATCATCCTCACTAAATTCTTCCCAGCAATAAGCAACTGCAACCAGAATCAATTTTGATAACAAAATTTGCACAACCGGCAGCTTGTTTATCACAGATAATGCAGAATTCTTTCTCTGCTTCCGAAATAATTCCAACAGTAGCATTCTCTCAGTAGAACTGACATATCTTTCTGGTCTCAACTCTTTCCCTCCTTCAATTGGTCGTATAGGATAGCAGGATATGACAAGGTGGAACCAATCTGCCATATCTGAAAATACCAGATTCAATTACACCCAAGACAGGGATAAATTTTTTTTTTTTTTTTTGGGGGGGGGGGGGTGGGGGGGTAGTAGTAGTAGTAGTAGTAGTAGTAAGT